AAAGAAAAATTTGTATTTCAAACTTTGTGCACAATTTGATATCATTTTTGTAAAGAAGAAAAAAATAACTTATTTTGGGATAGACATATCCGCAAATCATGGAGGTTCTTTCTAGAGGTTAAGATTATAGAGGACCTTTATCCAAGGGGTCTTCAAACAGTTCATACATTCATATTAACTTTTAATTTCATTTTTCCATGAACTTTTTGAAGTAAGCTTGTACCTTGTGTGTCTACAACATTTGAAATTTAAAAATAAGTATGTATTACTTTTACAAGCAGAGAATAAAAACTCCCTTTTATAGAAAAAAGAATGAATTTCTACATCAATCTAAGGATATATAAGCACTAGTTTCATGGTTAAGATAAGCCTTGTCCTAATCACACATCTCTATGTTTTATCTGTAAGAGCAAATATTTCTTTAATGTATAGAGGGACATAGCACATTTTGTGCAATAAATTACGCCTGCGTGCAGAAAGGGGGATTTTCTCATTAGCTGAGGTAAGGGAAGATAAAGTTTCACAGACTCCTGTTTCAAATCCTTTTGTAAAATAGAGTAACCATCTTATTTTCTGTCAGGGAAATCTGGATATTTACACAGGGGTTTTGCTTAGGCTGACATATGCAAGATTTTTAGAACTCTTAGCTGTATCATTTTCAAATTAAGCATAACAGAGATGTTAGCTTTTAGTATAAATTTAATAGAGAATAAAATGCCATAAAAATGTTGATTTAATGTTTTTCCAATTAAATATCAAATTGACATTTATTCTAGTATAATATCCCCCTATGTTTTACCTATTGTTTTGTTAAATAGTTTAGCTATGTCAAAAAATACAGATTGTGGCTATATATTTATTTTTCTAATACATGAGCAACAGAATTTTTTAATCACGTAGTTTAAATAGCAAGTTTCTCTCCCACTGAATTACCAACTGTTTCTGTCCTTTCTGACTCTCCTATAATGATTAGCTTCCTCTTTTTCTTTGGGTGGGCTGGGTGGGGAGTAACTATCAGTGGAGAAGATGAACAATGCTGTGTTAACGATGTAGGTGGGCGGTGTTTCATTCAGTAAGTAAAATTCATGGTAAACTCATGGCTTTTCTCCAGCAAGGTCCTCAAGACAGAATTATCCACTAAATCCAATGTCCAGCTGTGCCTCCTGCTTTGCAAAGTTACCAGTGTTCCTCTGTAATACCTGGCTTTGCCACACTGTGGTACCCAAGGCCTGGCTTATTGGTGTTAAGGTTGTGTGTTTGAAAAATAGGATGGGGCTTCTTCGTTTATATGCACCTCTAATAGAGTGTGTTACTGTATACTTCTTTCAGTGTGGTCTTCTGAGCACTGCATAGTTTTAGGACACCACTGACCAGAGAAGAGGACCAGAGCTGATATTTGCATAGGGTATCTCTGGCCTCATACTTCTGTTTAAGACCAACAAATGAATAGGAAGTTTTATCCATCTGTTTTTTAGTCACTAGTCTGAGAAAGCATAACTATAAAAATGAACACATTCTTCCATTCAGTAAATGCTGTGCTGATACATTCTGATGGCTCCTTTGATCTTTTTTTATTAGGCCCCCAAAAAGTTATTTAACAGACTTTGGACTGTCTTGACCAGTAGACATAGTGAGTTCAGTCACTTCAGCAGGAGGCCTAGCATCCAGAACTGTGACTCTAAGGTAGAAAGGAAGGAACTAGCTCTTACTGGGTGCTTACCATGTGCCAGGAACTGTCCTAAGCATTTCTGCTTTAAGCATTCACACTTAATACTGACATCAACTCTATGAGGAAACTGACTCACAGGAAAGTTAAGTATGTTTTCCCAAGGCTACGTGATTAGTAAGGTTCAGAGTAAGAGTCTGAATTCTGTGCAAACACTATTAACTATTATCACTGTGCTAACTCTTGCTTTCATTCACTCTGTTGTCCTTACAACAGCATTTTCAACCAAGCATTTTAACTATATTTGGCACCTGAGGATGTTAAAGCAAAGAGAGGTTAAGTAACTCTCCCAAGATTACTTGCTAGTAAATGGATTCAAGCAGTGATCTATCTGCAAAGCCCATGCCTTCTCCAATACATCCCACTGCTGCAAATTGTGAGGCAGGGCTGTTTATTCTGGAGCTCCAGGAATTGGGTTTTGCTCAAGAGGATCACAAACTGTCTGAAATATATAAAAATATTTAGTTTTGGAATGAGGTTGTATTCAGACTTTCAGCACCTCCATTATACCAAAAAAGTTAATCCCTCCTCCCCCTGCTTTAAAGCCGTTGGAACCTCCCTGAAGCTTGTGTTCAGTCCATAGTGGGCTCACAAAGCTACTCCCATCCCCAGGCATCTCTTTATATTAACTAGATCTGGAGCAGATGCCTCAGGACAACCCCTTTTTCCTCCTTCTTCCAAATCCCATCACGGTGGAAGTCCGCTGGAACTCCGTAGTTCTGACACTCCATGTATGAGACAGGGCAAAGATTCCTCTTGGAGCAGTGATTCAGTTTTAAAAGACACAGTCTTTATATTTTTATCTTCATAGTACACATGGCTGAAATTAACACTTGACAAAATCTTAGCAGCTGCTTAATTTACTTAATGATTGAAGGGAAGAGCCTTGTAGATGGCAGAGGTTTAAGTAGGTTGAGAAACTTGTCCTGAAATATGGTACCACATGCTGAGGGAGATGCCCAGGCAGGCCATTTATTCATTAACCCTAAAGCTTTGTTCCTCATCCAATAAACCTATCTTTGGGTGGGTGAGTGTGTATGGGGAACAGCACCTCACCATTTTTTTTATCTTTTATATATTAGTATGAATCTATTCGTTCAACATTTATTCCATATTATATCCATTAGCCTACTTTTTTTGCCAGGGACTGTTTAATGACAGCTTTGCCATAGAGTTTTGAACTAGGGGAGTATAAAGGAGATTATTAAACAAATACAGGAAGAAAAAAAGAAAAGCAAATGCTACAAGGAAAGCCTGGGGGGCTAAAAACAAACTTCACTTGTTTCAAATGTTGGCTAGGATTGGCCCAGTCCAGTTTGAAGCTATAAACTATATTCTCCTAATCTCCACTCTGGTCATTCAATTTCCATTAAAAACCCACTGTTAACAGAATTGGTCAGGTGAAAAATTTAGATTAAAAAAATTAAGTTTTCTAGTAGAACATTTAAAGTGTAGAAGCAAAGGAAGGTTGAAAATAAGCAAAAAGACAGAGAGCAGATCAAAAGCTAGGTGAGCAGGAAAGAGAAAAATTCTTATAATTCACCACCTGCTTTTGTGAAAGCCTTGTCTGCTTTATTTTCTACTCAGGACATGCAGGCACAAGTTAAGGAGCCTAATGCTTTGTGAATCCAGAACGTTTATAGTTGGCTCAAAGAAAAAGGCCTGAGACATGCAGGAGAACTGGCATTCTGGGGAAGACAAATGTATTATTGTTTTCGTGTTCATTTGTTCTTTTACCACCTTTTCCTCATCTCCACCAATGAGATTCTGGCATGGAGGAAGATATAACCCCTGAGTAAAACTTCTCTAAACTGAAAGTGCATAGTTTTGACCATTTAACCCCTCTAAGCCCTCAATTGTTCAATAATTATTTTAAAAATATATAGTTCCTTTGCATAATTGACCACAACTTCATGATTAAAATGATTTGGAGATACTACATTTTCAAAGAATTAAGTCATTGCTTTTGCTTGATCTATTATGGCCCACTTTCGTATTTAAAAATATATATATACCAATTTGAAAAAATCACTTCTCTATGGCCTTTTTTTAAAAAATAAGCATTTTAAAATTAGATCATTGCAAAGGTCCCCTCCATCTCCCATACTTGTTTTTGTTATTCTGCATAATAGGAAATAAATACAGCACTTATAACTTTTTTAAATGCCCCAAGTTACAAAGCATAGTGAAATATGATTCACATTCACCACGATGTGAAACTTTACATATAGTCAATGACTTTATTTTCATATGCAGATGATATAGTGTGTTTTCAAGAGGCTCTTCATATCAAGTTTATATTGGCAGATATTCTGACACATTTAAAGTTAATCCAGACAACTCAGAAATCTCTCTAACACCATAGCCATGGCATGTCTACCAGATTCCCTGTCAGTTCTAATGCTCTCAATTTACGACCATCAGTTATTTGATGGAAATTTCTCTGCTACATCCCTAAAGAAAAGATGATGCAAAGTAAAGAAAATGCCAGCTAATTGTGGCTTATATGTGTCTCCCAAAATTTTCCCAGAACCCTTTAAGTTAGTTTGAAACATGTACTTTTCTTTTTTTACTAGAGGGCATGATACATTTAATGAAAAAGTCAAAACTGAAATAGCAATTTGATAAATATCATTTATTTCCTTGATATTCAATATTAAAAGGTCAATGAAAAAAAAAAACCACCTCTCAATTATATTAATTAATTGTATGCCCAGAACTGCCAATCTATTATTAAATTAAATTGTATTCAGAGATTAGTATTTATTACCTAAATTAAAATACTTAATTGTGTTATGTTTTGTATTTTCTCAACAGATTGGATTCTTCAAAAGACCACTAAAGAAGAAAATGGAGAAATAAAATATTTACAAGAGAAAAAATAGCAATTATTCAATGATCTATCCTCAGGTTTGCCTCAGATATGTGACAATAAATTTATAAATATGATTAAAGACACGGTCACATAAATTTATGTATTCCATCAGGGATTAATCACTTGGAAAATGAAAAAGCAAGCAAGCATGATCCAAAAACAATACTGCAAAGATATATTATATAAAATAGTGAATTATATAATTTTTAAATAATTACTCATTTTTGTTGAGTATATAAGCAAAATTACAGTGTTTTAAACAGGAATAACCTATACAAATAGGCTTACATATGAAATCGCAACCCAAAGTATTTAAAAAATGCATAAAAAGTTTTTTATGATCATTGAAACATTTACTTTCAAAACTATATAAATTAAGCTTTTTCTTTGATTCCCGAGGGCTATCTACATTCAGCCTGACAGGCGGCATTTGTAAATGCCAAGAAAGGAATTACCTGAAAAAGATCACTTCCTCCAATTCAAATGAGAAAATCTACCCTTGGAAGAATTCATATACAACATGGACTGAAAAGTAAAATTCAATCACAGAGAATACATTCAGCATCTTTGTGTTGGGTTCTGTACTTGTAAAGTTTTTTTTCCAAGGTGATTGGAAAATAGTGCATTTGAGCTGAAATCCTATCTCAGATAGAAAATCAAGATAGACTTGTTTAAAAACAAGTGCACTGTGGCTGGCCAGTTAGCTCAGTTGGTTGGAGAGCTGTGTCCAAATGCCAGGGTTAAGGGTTCAGATCCCTGTACTGGCCAGCTGACAAAGGATTTTTTTAAAAGTGCACTGAATGGATTAATTTCAGCTTTTACAGAACATGCTTAATTTTTATATTGAGCTCTAAAACACAAAACTCTTTTATACTGAAAAAACACTTAAAACAGTTTTGTGTGACATAACAGTGATTTGTCATGAAAAGCCACATTGTGTGGGGGACGTGCTAAAATGGTTTCTGAATGGAACAGGGCAGCGTAGATAGATGCCACTGAAATGCTGAAATCATCTTTGCTGAGCAGCTTTTGAGTGCCAGGGGTTCCAGGATGTAACCAAAGTAGGAGTTTTCTGAATTCCTTGGTACAGGGTTCATTCAAACCCCTAAGCTATGAGAGTATGTTTATTTTTTAAATTTTTAAAGGTATTTAATTTTCCAAACACATTTCTTAGTTTTATGAAAAGACAGTATTCCATTTCAATATTGCATTTTAACAAGAAGTCACTGCTTTTTGAGTGTGGCATATCAATATTTAAATAGAACTCCAGAAATGTATTTTAAAGAATTTCAGGTTTGAAAGCTCAAACCAAAAGAAAGATATCACACCTTTGTATGTGCTTCTTTGTTCTTGAAGTAATCATTATGATTTATTGGACTTTACTGTAGCATACGTTCCTAGGTTGCTTCATTTCTTAGGAAAATAACAATGGACGAATGTACGTAACTGCATGTGTGAACTACTGCTATAGAATTTGCTGACACTTCTGCAACAACTCCATTTCTCCACCCAATTTATCATCACAAGACCAGAGCTTGAAATTATTCAGAAAATCCAAGGCTCTGCTTTTCTCAAAAAGCACCAAATCAACAGAGAAATTAAATGCCATGGATTTAATGTTTGAAGACTAATTTCTGGGGATTATCTAAGTACTCAGACAGCCTACCTCTCGACTCTCCACATCTACATCTAAGATCCTGAAGGCCAAAGAGATGTGCCCTGGGGATGCCAAGGTCATCAGTAAGTAGAAGAAAGGGTAAATCTTTCTAGAGATTTGACATCATCCTGCTGGCCTGGTATTGTTCAGAAATATCCACTTTTGGAATCAGACCTGCTCTGCAGCCATAAAGAAGCTGTTTCACTTTCTCAAGTAATCCAGAGCCCTGCAAGCGACATTGTGAAAGGCCATCCTTTGTAAATATTTTTAACTTCAGTGACCTCATTTAAACTTCTATGGTCCTATTTGTTAAACTATTTTCCTCTGAACACCAAATTCATGGGCAACTTAGTCTCAATATTTTCTGTGTCGTAAGTGTGCTTGAAAAGAGGTTTATGGGAAGAGATATTTTTACAAAATTTGATGCTTAGGGAGCCATAATGATTTTACCTAAAAATGCATATACATACTCACATGTATATATTTACATATATAAATGTTCTCTTTTCCTTTTATAAAATCAAGTTCTAGACTCAGTTGGGACACAGAAATATTTGCACCAAAAGAAAAAAGTGGTTGCATGGTGATGGGGGCTGTGAGAAACCATGCGCACATTCTCTTTAGGGCCACACCTGCACACTAAGAATGGTGGCCCCTCGGGCCCCCGTGGAGTGTGCTTTCACATGGGGTAAGGTCTTTGCAGAACATGTTGTGATCTACTCCATGTGAATTGACTGTCTCACTCTCCACAGCATTAAGAAAACTAAGGAAGACCCAGGCCCCAAACCTGTGTCATTTGCCAGGTGCAGTCACATTATTGTTCAAATAAAGTGGCTCCTGCCAGATCAACTTTTAAAAATAGTATCCTATGCACTCTTCACTTATATCCAACACTTCCCCCCCCCCCCCCTTGGTCTTGTCCCCTACGGGAGATTTTCAAAAAGGCTGCTAGAGAGAAATCTGTTAATAAAACACATGTTCTTTTTGCTGTGAATACCAGCTCCAGTGAATTGGTCATTTATGCAGGATTTCAGTCCTCATTTCTTCAGTGACACTCTAAAGGGTTGACATGGTTTAATGTAGCAGGGATAAAGTGGAATGTACTTCAGAGATGGAACATGTTTAAGAGATTTACAAACCATTGGGGGACACTATCAGCCACTGAGCCAGTGGGGAAGCCCTTCAGTGGCTCTCCATCAGCACCCCACCATTCCCATCCTCCCCCATGGAAATAATCTGAAAAATGAAAAGAAGGGCTTTAAAATCTTCAAACCGATGTTATTTTTATAAAAACTAAAATGCACAATTTAATTGTAAACAGCAGACTTTTAAATGCAAACATAGCTTTAAGGTAAGTCCTCTGAGCACCGCCTTCCAATGAGACTGGTGTCCCTAGGCCCTCCTACACAGAAACTCTGAAACCACCACTGGATGTTAACTATGTTAACTCTGCAGTGAAAGGAAACCCAAAGCACATTACAAGAGGCTAAATATTCCCAAAGGAAGCACTATTTCACAACACTATTACGTAGAACAATAGAGTTAAACTGTAACATTGTAATCTAGCAAACAAATCCGTATCTTTGAACTTCATATTAAAATTTAACCTTATATTTAGAAGTTCAAACGAACAGCCTTTGGCAATCAACCTTAAGCAAAAGGTAAAGTAGCATATGCAGACTCTTCAGCCCCAGCCTGATAGTCCCCTACAACACCTAACACCCAGCAAGCAAATCCAGTTCCTAATTGATGGGAATGGATCTTTCTGCCACTATAGGCCTGAGCTTAACCCCTGAATCCACTGCTGTTCTCACCCCCCAAGATCAGCCCCCCACATGAGACACACGTGAGCTCTTCTTGCTAAAACTTTACCATACCAAAAACTATGCAAGGAAGAGTCATCACTTCTAACTTTAGACTCCCTGCTCTGAGATCAGTGATTTTGTTTGTTTGGTTTTTCCATTTTTTGTATAGCAAAACCTTTCCCCAGTAGCTAATGAATCTAGAACTTTACACAAGACGCCCTTGCATTTTCCTACTGCGCCAGGCTGGAGAATCTCAGCACTATGAGGACTGGGCAGTGAGTGCCAGAGCCGATCTGCAGAATCTCTCTACCTTCTGCCTCCCAGCTGATTTCTTCTCTTCTTAACTACACAGGGGGAGGTTTTGTTTAGATTTGGGGCTTTCTCTCAAGGCCATTCTATGCCTTGTGCCCCTTGCAGGGTTTTGAGTGGTGGCATGTTATCTTTGCTCATGAGCGGAGACAGAAATCCTTTAAATAGCTGACATGCCCTGCAAATCATGGCACTAAACTAGGGACCAATGACATCATAACTGTGATTACATTGGGTTTTAGCATATTTCCAGTCACATCCTTATGAAAAAAGACAAAGTGTGGAGTTTTAGAAGCTCTTCTGCAACACTGAGATTCCGCGTTTGATCTTTTATTTCAGTTTGATCTAAGCATATAGATTGAGGACAAAATTTTAAAAATAAATCTTCCAAATGAGATGAGAATGAGAGCTAGTTGTGCTCTTGAACAGTCCTTATTGACATTACCTTGTCCCCTCTCCTTGGAGAGAGATTGAATGGGGAAAAGTAAGTAAACATATTATTTCTGTCCTCCATATACTCTCTAAGCAGAAGGGAGCCATCACACGGAGGTCCAGTGCCATGTGACAATCTTTCTGTTGCACCCCTGCAACATCTTGCACCCCCGCAACATCTTGCACCCCTGCAACATCTTGCACCTTGAAAAGCAGAAAAAATGGGGGATGTGTTGGGAGAAGATGAAACTATTTAACTTTTATGCCTCCATTCTTATGCCTCAAAAGACTGTAAGCTCCTTCAGATGCCGTGTATCCTGCCCTCGATACTAACACATGTACTTTGAACTGTAAATTTTTGATTAAATAAGAGCAAAAGTATATTCTTACCTGAAGATTAACCAGGGCTAATTTCCTGGAGTTGAACTCACTTTGGGCTCAAGTAAAAACAATTACTTGAAGCAGCAACAGTTCAGACCTTCTTCATTCTAGAATTATTTCACACAGGAGATTCTGCTATTTAGTCTTTTATTTCTGGGACATTCCTGACCTTACTCAGGATGAAACAGATGCTCTGCACTCCTATTAGGAAATGTTTGTCTGTAAGAAAAATGATATACTGTGTGTTACTACTGTGAGGTTGTAAAATTGTTAATGGACAATATAAAGAATTTATCCATTTTATTAAAAAGAAAAATATTGCATATAATAACTACTACCCTGAAACATCTATCATAATCATGCAATAAGCTTTTCTGCATGGTCTAACATAAAGTGTGTTGCATTGCTCATTTTTTTTGTATTTACCTCAGAATAAACTCATTAAAATGAATAACTTAAGGCTATGTGCATTTCTACAAGACTTTTATTGGATAAACCCATTAGAATAAAATGTCTTGATTGCATTTAAGAGCAAAGAAGCACAATCTTTGTTGACTTTAGTATTTATTATGTGCCTAATTAAAAGTCATTTTTTAAAGAAATTAGTTATGAAGTAACAATCCTTTAAGCTGTTATGATTAGAAATAACTGATAGAGTAAAAGAGAGTTTTGAATATCCTATGTATGACACATCCTGTACACTTATTTGAGGTCAGAGGTTTGGTATTTTTGTATAATTCTATCTTATCTTGTGCATCAGCTGTGTATTTTACGTCAAGATAAATGAGCATCCTGTATTATATGTTAAATTAAAAAAATGACTCTTACAAAGAAGAATGTTTGCTGTGATTTTAAATATATAAATCTTGTACAAAATTAATATGACTTCTTCCAAAACTCCAGCTTTTTTTAGCTCCTTGGCAGGTTTTCACTTTAATGCTCTAAAAGGCAAAAACAAAAAGCAAATTAAAAGTCTGTGGTGCTTCCTGTGCAAGATATAGCAATGTGATTAGTCTTTTGCAAACTTGAGACAAAAACCACAGAATCTATATTACTACATATCTTCTCCTAACGAGGAGTTTTAATAATAAATCATCTGCTATACAATAATAGACTGGACCACATTAGGTGAGACCAAAAAATATCAAAAAATAAAAAAATAGTTATTTTCTTTATTCGATCTATAGTTTAAAGACATAAAATTATTTTTATGAATAAGAACTAAAAGAAAACACTGAAAGAAGTCTTAGTATAATACGTTCATTTTTTTAAAAAAATTATCCTCAAAGTATGCTAAATAGGGAGATATTTTTACAGAAGGGACAGTTCGAATTATGAAGAGGTTATTTGTAAAGTCTTGTACTTAGATTTCAGCAGAGCATGTCCCCAGTGCCCCGTCTTTTCTTTCTTAATGTGAAATAAGTAGTTGCTCTCAGCCTTCACCCACCACTCAGGAAGGGAATGCAGTGAAGGTAGTAAAAAAGAATCAGGATAAATTCACTGGAAAATGAGTGGTATTTATCAGGACTTATTTGTAAGTTAAGAGCAAAGACACAGCATTTGCTTCCCTATCTTTTGTGATGTCTTTGTTTATTCTGATTATAAAATTAATGTGATAATCACAGGCAGATGTCAGGAAGAATATTCACTCAACAGAAGTGATCATTAAGAAGACTGTAGGTGGGGCCGGCCCGGTGGCGCACTGGATAGTGCGCCGCTTCGGATCCCACATACAGACCGGTTCCCGCTCACTGGCTGAGCGAGGCGCGGGAGCAACACCGAGGGTTGCAATCCCGTTGCCGGTCCCCGGTCCAGTACGGGGGCAACACTGAGGGTTGCGATCCGTTGCCGGACACGGAAAAAGACAAAAAAAAAAAAAAAAAAGACAAAGAAGACTGCAGGTGATTTCTGTTTTCTTTATTATAATAGTTATATTATTTAATTGTTTTTAAATAGGTGAGTATTGATTTTTAAATTGAGAAAAAAATTCTTTAAGGTAAGATTTTTGCTTGGGTTGACTTTGATATCCTGCAGATTTTCCAGGACTCATTTTCAAGGCATCTGAAATGAAACTTGGATTAGAGCAGTATTCATGGAGTCACCCCCACTCTGAAACTTGTGTCTTAAAATGACATGTAGCAGGATCCCTAACCTACACTGACTCCAGCTATGATGGTCCAATTCCTACCCTGATGACAGGAATAATGAAGCAAGCTCTGTGGTCCATAGGAACCCAAGCCACCATGCACTTCACAGATGTATTCGGCTTGGTTATGAGCCAGGGCTCTAGTTAGAATTTGACTGGCAAGTACTGGCTTGAATTAATAAAAGCAGCATTGAAACACCTGCAGGTTTGGTCTTTAGCTTCCACTTCACTCAGCTATATTTTTGTTTGAGTAGTATCTTTCAACTAAATATGTGTAGCATGAATTCATTTAGATACCACAACCCAGGACAGCATTCCAAAGGCAAGAGTGGAAATGCCTCAACCTGGTAAACAAAGAATAGCATCCAGAATTGCCCATCAGATTGTAATTAGTGGAGCTGGAGGTTAGCCATGCCAGCGACTCTTAACTATCCTTGACAAAATGCCCGGGACTCTTTAGTTTTGCATGCTGAGTCTCTCCTTTTCTGCTTTCTTCCTTTACTTTCAGATTTTTCTATTCTATTTCACTCAAGTACCATCTGTTATTCCTTTTCACACACTTTTCAGACCCTTCTTTCATTACTGCTCATTCTACATACCTCATCATTAAGAAGTGGGTTATTCTGCAAAGATTCTAATTAGCGTGTTGTTTGACAGCAGGTAAGTTTTTCCACCTTCTAAGATGAACCACTAAATAAACTGCGTAAAAAATGTAGTCTTGTTTTGCCAGCATCTTGTCAGAATTTTTTACAAGTTTGAGTTCACTACTGTTTGCTTGAGTTGTCTAAGCAGAATGTATGTCCTTGTGTGCATATGTCTGAATCTATACGTGAGTGAACACATGAATGAAGATTGTATGTTTAAACAGAGTCATTTGAATTCTGAAAAAGGTTTATGATTGGGGCATGTGAAGCAATAATACAGTGAAAGTAGGTAATTTTGAATGAAAATTGATGGATGTGGATGAAGTCTCCCATCTTTCTATGAGGCGAGAAAACAAAGGAGACTAACATTTGTTGCCTGCGTCCCACCTGCCAGGCACTGAACTAGGCAATTTTCCAACAAAATGCCTTTTAATCCTATCAACAACACTAAGTGGTGGTATAATTATTATTTCTGCTTTACAGATGATGTAACTGAGACTCAAAGGAGTTAATGGGCTAGTTCAAACTTATAAAGCTAATAAGTGTTGATGCTGAAATGAAAACCAAGATCTATCTGATTCCAAAGCCATTTTCCCAGGGGCAGGGACTTGAGAGGAAGTCACTGGGAGATAAGTGAAAACACAAAGTTTCAGGAGAACACATATATATCTTTGTAGCACTTGACACATATTAGACACTCAGTTAATATTTGTTTATTATTGAATGAATGCAAGAATTGATGAACTGTGTAGTCAGGGATCTCCAGGGAAACAGAACCGATAAAAAAATGTGTGTGTTCATATATATGTATATATACATATATATACATGTACATATACATGTATATATACACATACACACAAACACACATTGGAGGTCTTCAAAAAGTTTATGGAAAGATTCATATTATCTTTTAATCCCATTTTTCCATGAACTTTTTGAAGTGCGTGCGTGTGGGGGGGGGGGGGGGTGTAGGTGTGGGTGTGTGTGTAGAGAAAGAGACAGACCGAGAAAGAGAGAAAGATTTATTATAAGGAATTGGTTCAGGTGGTTATGGAGGCTAAGAAGTCCCATGATCTGCCACCTGCAAACTGGAGACCCTGGAAAGCCCATGGTGTAATTCCAGTATAAGTCTGAGGGCCTGAGACCAGGAGAACTAATGATATAAGTTCTAGTTCAAGTCCAAAGTCCTGAGGACTAGGAGCACTGATGGTGTAAGTGACAGTTTGAGGGCAAGAGAGGACTGATGCCCCAGTTCAAGCTGTCAGGCAGAGAGAGCAAATTCTCCCTTAGCCTGCCTTTTGTTTCATTCAGGCCTCCCACAGATTGGATGAGGCCCCACCCACATTGCCAATCTGCTCTACTCAGTCTACCAATTCAAATGTTAATCTCATTCAGAAACACCCTCACAAACGCACCCAGAATAATGTTTAACCAAATATTTGGGCACCCCTTGTCCCAGTCAAATTGACACATAAAATTAACCACCACAAGTCCACCCCATCAACTTGGTACCCACATAGATCTCTTTAAGCTATATTTAATCTCCAAATAAAGACAGTAGCAAGGTCATAATTGCAGCTAATACGATACAACTATCCTGCATGCAACTGAAAACAAGCTAACTCCTTCCCCAAAGAAGGGGTAAAGTCCTTAAGTGGTGTTTTCTTCTGTCCTTGATATCCTGTAACTAAAATACTATGATGTAAAGTCAATGATACTTTGAAACTATGACATAGTCAGTACATCTTATGTTACATGATAAGGGAATAAGAAATAAAGAAAAACAGATATTTGCTTAATATATATAAATATTATTATATATATATAAATATATATAAGCAAAATAGGGAATAATACTAGTAAGAATTACAATCTTCTTTTCTTTAACTGTTCACATGGTTGTAGCTGGTATGTATAACTACCTTCTTCCACTAATCATTCTGTATTCCCTTTGCCTTCAGCAAGCATCTTAGCTGGTCATGGTTCTCTACCTGGTGGCATGACCCAAATCTTTATTCCTGAAGAGTCTCGGTCATTAGTAGTCCTGCCTGGATTGGGTTGTCATAGTTTTCCATTGATCTTCATCACAGAGTATGATGGTACTCAGAGTCACCCTATAGGATCTCTATATTTCAGGCATACTCTTCTTTACCTTCATCGTGGAGTAGCAGTCCAATTTCCCCTTTAGTTATGATCAATCACTCCACCCAGCACAGCACCTAGTCCTTTTGCCTGTTCAGAGGCATGAGCACCTCAAAGTGGCAGATGGTAGCATGAACTTCTAGTTCAATAGAACCATTGTCGTGTCTCTTGGTGAAAGCATTTCTCCCTTTGGAACTAAGACCTCTAGGCCAGCAAAGCATAAGTTCATGGGAACAGAAAGCAAAAATTTTGCTAGTGGGTCACCAGGGGTAATGGTGAGTGGTGTCACTCTCATTTTTACCCCTCGATTCCTAGACCTGTGAATCTTGGCTATGGGAGAAACAGTACCATATGCTTTCACTGGTTTAGAGCATATACAGCTTTGTATGGAGCTTTGCTCCTGCCCTGTGAGGTATTGCCAACAAGCTGGCACAGCAACTGAATCTTTTTTGTTGTTGTTAACAGCTGGCCAGTACAGAAATCAAACCCTGGACCTTAGTATTATCAGCACCATGCTCTAAGCAACTGAACTAACCAGCCAGCCCACAACTGAGTCTTTAAAAGGTCATTTCATTGTTTCCTCAAGACAGCTACTTCAGGATTGTGGGAAACATGGTAAAATCAGTGAATTTCATGAGGCTGGGTCCACTGCTGTACTTATTTTGCTGTAAAGTTGAGTTCCTCAATCAGAAGCAATGCTATGCGAAATACCATCATGGTAGATGAAGTTTTGTAAAGTGTTACTTATCCAGCTCACTTATATATCTCTTTGGGAAGAAATTCATGAACATGTAGGATGGTCTCTAATCATTGACTTGTAAATTTGGAGGCAATTTAAAACTCATCCACTACTGGAGCCTTCTTTACAACATCCCTGACAGTGCAAGCCAGCTTGTGCT